TAATTTCTGAATGCTGCTGACCTTGTTTGGATTGATGCCATTGACTTGCTGGAGCTGCTCCACCATCCACTGGGACCTCCTGGTGAAGGAAGAGGAGTCACCAAATTTCTTCACCTTTGTAATGAGAAGCTGATGTGGCCTCGTATTAGTCACTAGGTAAACAGATCATATATAAAAGATGACCATCCTTTTCAAAATCTTCAGTAATATTTTTACAACAGAACAACTAGTTTACATAATAGCTGAAGACTGGAAAAGTTACACTGACCAATTGTGATTACGCATTTTATATTAGTACACCACAATAATGACAAATAACTGACCATTTATAATTAATGGTTACACAGTTAGATTTGATCATAAAGCATCATTAGCTTATTAACTAGGAGGTTAACTAGGAGTGGTGTTGGCATTTGGTGCTAACACTTCTCTGTTGTCTAACTGACACCAAAGAGTAATACAAACTACAAACCCCAATTCCAATGAAATTGGGACATTGTGTAAAACGTAAAAACAGAATACATTGACTTGCAAATCCTTTTTGACCCATATTTAATTGAATGCACCACAAAGACAAGATCGGATTTAGAGGTGCTGATTCTCATCCCAGCCGCTTCACACTCAGCTGCAAACCGCCCCAGTGCACGGAGGTCCTGGTTTGATGGGGCCAACAGGACAACGTCATCTGCAAAAAGCAGAGACGAGATCCTGCGGTCCCCAAACCGGACTCCCTCCAGCCCCTGGCTGCGCCTAGAAATTCTGTCCATAAAAATAATGAACAGAACCGGTGACAAAGGGCAGCCCTGCCGGAGTCCAACATGCACTGGAAACAAGTCTGACTTACTGCCGGCAATGCGAACCAAGCTCCTGCTCCGGTCGTACAGGGACCGGACGGCCCTTAGCAAAGGGCCCCGGACACCGTACTTCCGGAGCACCCCCACAGGGCGCTGCGAGGGACATGGTCAAATGCCTTCTCCAGATCCATGAAACACATGTGGACTGGTTGGGCAAAGTCCCATGAACCCCCCGCCACCCTGAAGAGGGTATAGAGCTGGTCCAGTGTTCCACG